GCTAGAAAAGGAATTGTTTTGTCTACCTACTCTGTGAAGAGAGCTCACTAACACTTAACAGGAAGCTCAAAACTACAAACCTAGGCAGTGCAGAATATGAGAAATAGGAAAGCTAAAACTTAAGGCATCACATGCTGAGGGGCTGTGGAATGCAGTAATTTTGGTGTGGGATTGAGAAGATTTCAATGGCACTGAGTGGTTTCAAGGTGATAGATCGAACTCTCTCATCTCCTTGAGTGCCAAGAAATGGAGACAACTACACCAAATGCCTCCAAAACCCTCCCATGTACATCCCTTGTCGCCCTGAAAACTCAGCTTCGGAGCTTGTTGACATAGTTTCTAAAGAATTTTCCCAGGATAGAAACTATAAACATAGATACTTGTGCATTCCTTCTGTTAGACGTCTCTTGATGGACATGTCTTACGGCCAGTGTGGTTAGAAAGGGGCTATCCTGACTATCCAATCCCTGGCCATGGTCAGAAAGCTATAAATTGTGAGAAGAAATAAAGTTCACTTCTTCTTCATCATCTCTTGAGCAGTGTCCGTGTGACTTATTTCGTGTCCGACAGCGACGCTCCCTGAATCCCAGATTCCCCTGAAGCACCAGTAAATGTGAGGTTTTAGATGCCTTTGATGAATTTATAGACTTTTATTCCAATTTTATCTGTTTTAAAGGGATGAAGATGAATCAAAAGATAGAACCAAAATAAAATGACCACCAGCCCAGTGTGTTGCCAACACAGATCACTGGGAACGTGGGTCATCAGAGCTCTGCCCAACGTGGGTCCTCTGGTGGGGGATGGAGCTGGAGCAGTGCACAAAGCTCTTCCTGCACTTGGGGCACTCGCAGGGCTTCCCTTACCGGTGTCTCTGTTGGTGCTGGGTCAAGTGAGAGCTCCGGCTGAAGCTCTTCCCACACTGGGGACACTCGTAGGGCCTCTCCCCAGTGTGGATGCGCCGGTGGGTGATGAGGTTGGAGTTTCGCTTGAAGCCCTCCCCACAGTCAGGGCAGCGGAAGGGCCTCTCATCCGTGTGAATCCGCTGGTGCCTGAGGAGATGGGGGCTGGTCTGAAACCTCTTCCCACACTCAGGACACTCGTAGGGCCTCTCCCCACTGTGGATGCGCTGGTGAATGATGAGTTGGGAACTGCAGTAGAAGCCCTTCCCACATTCCCTACACTCGTAGGCCCATTCCCCAGTGTGGATCATCTGGTGGCAGATCAGGCTGTTGCTCCGGCTGAAGCTCTTCCCACACTCCAAGCACTTGCAGGGCTTCTCCCCATCCTGAAGCTGCTCATGGACCACCAGCTCAGAGCCCTGGCTGGATCTCCGGCCGCCTTCCCGGCACAGGGTGGGTCTTTCCTCCTCAGAGCACCCTGGGATGGGTTTGGAGCCCCTCCTCCTGTGGGATCTCTGGGGATTTTCCTCCCCATTGGATTCCTGTGCCGTGGAGCTGCTCAAAACAGCCTCTTCCACGAGGTTCTGCCGTGGGGATTTGTCCTCCCTGGTCTCCATCCTCAGCTCCTTGTCTGGGGGAGGAAGGACAAGGAGAGGATGGGATTTGCCTCCGTGCCAGAGGGAAGGGGAAGGAGATCCCCCCAGTGCGTCCCCGGCAGGACGGCGTCGGCAGCGGGGTTGTCCTGCAGCCGGGGGCCAGGCTGGGCTGGGACATGGAGCAAAAGAGAGGGGGAAAGGGGCACTGACTTCCTCCTCACCTGCCTGGGTGTCCTGGGGCATCTTCCTCTTCCTCACAGCCTCCTCCTCCATCTGGACAAGGTTTGGGAATGGGAAATCCTGGTTTGAGGAAAAATACAGTTCATGAGAACATTGGAATAGGGGGTTCCTCCTGCCCATGTCCATCTTTAGAAATCACAAGCTACCCATAAAAACCTCCAAAACATCAAGATTCAGCCCTGAAAATGTCTCCCAGGAGTTCCCCATCTCTGGTCTTTCTCCTTTGGTGTTCAGAGGTTCTCCCCGTCACAGCTGCTGGGGGTCACGCTTGTATTGGGGGTCCCCTGTCTGCTCGGTCCCTACCATCCCCAGGCTGCTGGAAGTGCCAGGAATCTGAAAAGTTCCTCCTGTTCCCATCTCTTCACTTAGTGATGCTGAGACCCCCTGAGGTCCCCCCAAGGGGCATTTTCCACTCAGCTTTGGAGTTGTTCTTTCTCCAATCATCCCCCCCAAAAAACCCAACCCAGGGATCCCCCGGGATATCTGGGCTGAGCTCCCCCTTCCTTGGTCACCTGTGGAATATGGGGGTGGATGATCCCACAGGCGAGGGGCTGTGAATTCAGGGAGTGCTCGACCTTGAGGTTCCTTCTTCTTTCCATGATATTCCTTTGTCCCTTTTCTTCCTCCCGCTCCTCCTCTTCCATCCTTCCTCCTGCTCCTCCTCCATAACCCCACCTCCTTCACCTACTTCCATCCCTTCTCACTCTCCTTCTTCCTCCCTCCTCTTCCATCCCTCCTCCTCCTCCCCCAGGAGCAGCGACACCCTCGGTGCCCCGTTCCCAAACCCCTCACAGCCCACGGCAGGAGCGGGGATGGAGCCGGGACAGGTCGGGATGGGCAGCGCGGGGCTCTCCGCTGCTCCCACCCACTGGGGATGGGGGGAACCCGGCCCGGGGAAAAGGAGAGGGAAACTGGGAAAATTGGGGGCTGCAGATCCAACCTGGGGCTGGCTGGGGACCCTGGCTGGGGACTGCCAGCCCTTGGGGCTCCTCTGGGGAGATGTGGGAGGGGGGAACACAGAGAGGGCTGGGGGATCCCAGGAGTGGCAGCACTGGCAGGGACTGGTTTGTACTGGGATCATCCTGGCAGTGGCTGAGATTGCACTGGCTGTGTACTGACATCATACTGGGATCATACTGGGATGATACTGGCAGTCAGTAGGAGCTGTATTGGATGTGTACTGACATCTGTATGATGTCACAACTTTATGATGTGTATTGACATCATACTGGGATCATAGTGGGAGCAGCTGGGCCCATGCTGGGGGGGACTGGGATCCCACTGAGGGGACTGGAATCATACTGGGATTGACTGGGAGTGGCTGGGAACAACTGGAATCATGCTGAGAGCAACTGGGAGGAGCTGGGAATGACTGGGAGCGTGCTGGGGCTGACTGGGATATACTGGGAGAGACAGGGAGTCCCAGGGATCACACTGGAGGCTACTGGGGTCACACTGGCACTGCCAGGGAGCAACTGGGGGCCACTGGCCTCATACTGGGAGTGACTGGGATTAGACTGGGAGTG